GAAATCACAAACAGTCGCATCTTCTCACTAAAAGAATCTGGAAACAAAGTGAATTAATCACAACAAAATTATATAGGAATTACTGAATCACTTTGATTAAAATATGATAAACAAGATCACCAAGGAAAGGCGGCGTTCAATGAACCAAACCCCCATATGACCCAGTAACAAGGAGCCCAGGCGGACCCCAAACAAAAACAGGACAGGGCAAAGACAGGGCACGGACAGGTTAATCACTAAATGATAAATAATTTGTAATTGATTAGGAATTCAAAGAAAACAAATAAATGATTGAATAATAGCCCACAAAGGGGAAGTACCCAGGAGACCGGGGGAAGGGGGGGGGGGGGGGTGGTTAATCAAAGAAATAATAACTAGAGGTAATGGGGAAGATACTTACCGTAGACGAGAAAACAACAAGGGACACAAGCATAAGTGTCACCCAAACAGTTTGAAACAACATAGACATACATCTGAGGAGCACAGAGAGGCGCCGCCTTGGAACGGTTCAGCAGCATAATACTAGTAATTACTGCTGGGGAGTTTAAACCGGTTAATGGTGCACCAAACCTCGCTCTTAGCCCCACCAAGTTCCTATAAACGAGACAGTGTAAATAAAATGAATCCCCGTCTGTCTGTACATGAGGGATAATGAATAGGTGCAACATCCCTCACGCTCCCTAGCACCGACTTGAGCGGTACTCAATTCTCAACACCTAATAGTGCTGGCATCAATGATCTCGAAGGACCAGAAAAATATAACAACACTGGAGTGAAGTACGGGGCAAGTTTTTACACCTGCTGTTGTGCAGTATAAAAATATGAAACCTAAATAGCATTATTTCTAGTTAGTACAATATCAAAAATATCCAAAACCGTACGGTAAATTTTGTTCAAGGTTGTACAGGTGCCTTTAATTACAACTCAACTATTTTGTTAAAATTGTTAAAATGCAGTTCCTTACAGTGAACATAAGGGTTGTCATAACTTAATGCTTCTTAACCGAATAACAATAACAAATATTCAACTGCATGTTAAATAGTCATTTTTATTGCAATAAAAAGAATGTCAGTAAAGAAAAAGAACAGAAACTCAATTTGCAACTGGAGATGATCCCACCTTTGTTTGTTTCACTTTTACACAAAACGTGTTTGAATGGAAAATGTTATTGATATCAATGAAATAGAATTATAAATGAATATCTTGATTTGGATTTGAGTGGATTTGATGAGGATAAGATCTCACGAGGCGAGATAGCGCCGAGTGTGATCCGCTCATACAAAAATCCATGAGAGCCAGATACAAGTCGTTACTCATAGAATAACCATTTCATTATTTATTATATTATTGATGAATTTAAACTATATATTTTCAATTATCTTAAATTTGACTAAGTTGCGGCTGCAATATCCATCTTTCTTCAATCTACTAGTATTCTTTAATCAACATTTTCTACTTATTCAATATTTAAATCACTTTCAAAAACCCCATCTTATTTATAGAAATAAATCCTATGTTAGGGAAAGTTCTTTATTTACATTTTATGCTTTCGGATCTGATTTATTTTCAGCATTGTGTTTTGTTATTCATTATTGTATGTAAATTTTGTTTGTGCAAAATGTTTAAAATAAAATATGTTTTAACTAATCCTAAGGTAATTTGCATAATACCATTAACGTCATTCCGGACCAAACTCGAGTATAACATAGATATTCTTCTATCGGATCGTATTTGTCCATATGGTAATGCATTTGATATAGAAAAATATTACAGGTAAAAAAACGAGTTATTTAGAGGAGTGGAATGACATACAATATTGCAGGATATAATCTAATTCAATGATATTTTATACTCAGACAATTTGATATACAGCTGCTTAAGTATTATTTTTCATAGAAAACCAGCAGCGATTGGCAATTTCTACTTTTCTTTAAATACTATTCTCATTTATAGACTGCATCTCATTAAATTCTATCAGTAAGCAAAACATGGCGGAAATCTTCTTATGTAAAAACAAATCTTTGCTCGAATTTTATTGAATGACCACCTAACCGGCTTTCATGGATAAAATAGAGAAAAACAGAATCCCTAAAGAAAGCCCAACACGGCAAAATTGTAAAATGTTGCACCAGTTACTGCCATTTTTACACAAGTGACCGAGTACATATCCCATTCCGAATCAGAGAAGAGAGACTGGTTGAAGTAAATACGAACGGCTGAAATACGTGTATGTGTGTAATTTTTAGAACATACAGTATAATGTTTTAAAAATTCAAATAGCATGATTGCATGACATTTTCAAAATAATTTATTAATTTGCAATTGTATTTAATCACGATTTCTCTCCAATATTATTACGCAGGAAGTGTTTCTAAGACGTTGTATAAAACTATAGCACAGAGACACATGACTCTGATAAATCTATTTGTTCTGTAAATGTGACCATAGCGATATATTATAGCTGTATTGTATGTTTCGAGATTCCAGATTCAACTTCAACAAATGTAAGATAATGCGGATTGGAAACAGCAATTTGGTACAAAATACAAAATGAAAGACACCACTGATATTGATGTTGACATTGAATTCATTGACAAGGAAAAAGACCTAGGTATTAAAAGTTTCCCATACATCACAAGGTATCACATGTTATAATTTAAAACATCAGTGCAGTACCAAAGAAAGAGAGCAAAACATTAAAGTTTATATACAAAGCTCAGATATTGAAATTATAATACTTAAATTATTTTATAATAATTTATAGAATTTCACAGATAGAGAAATTGTACTTTGGCAGTGATTTTTACACAACTCTGATCAGAAAATAAGAATTAATTTCTTTTTTGCTGTTGCGAGATTTCCCAAATGGATCAGATCAGGATCCATGCAGTTCGTTATCAGCTTCTATTCTTGCAATAGGGTTTGTAAGCGAACAGCATGGATCCTGATCAGACTGCGCGGATGCGCAGGCTGGTCTGGAGCCATGCTGGTCGCAAACGGACTATTTTGGTTTTGTCATGGCGCGGCTCATTTTTTTATTTTCTGCTAACAAAACAATGTCATTAGCAGACAATAAAATACACAGATTATCGTTATTTCCAATATCTACCCTTAGTACTAGGTTTTACTGTGATATGCAGGCTTCATAACCTCAGATCCCCTTTCTAAATTCCATTTTATTTAGTTCCGCCCATTGTTTTCTCGATTAGGGCAAAAGCATTCTTTTACTTGAGTACCATACGCCGCTTTTCATGGAATGGCACTACTGTGTCACATTGAAGATTCCATGATAACCGCCGTATGAACACATCTGAGGATGTTTCTAAATTCAAAATTTCACCATTTTCCTGTTAAATGTTGAATTCTGCTTAAGCCGGTGCTAGGGGGCGTGGACGATAACTTGCACTTTCCAGTACCGTCCATGCACAGGCTTAATAAAACCGAGCCTGCAACATTTTCAATTTTGTTGTGTTCGACTGTCTTTCGGGATTCTGTTTTTCTCTAATTTAAGTTTCAGTGCTAAATCATTGACATTATACATATATATTATAAAGCAGGGGAGATAATCCATTACCGTGATGTTATTCGTATTTTACATTGAACCAGTCAGTGTGGTACGAGTTAACTTTTACACTTGAAGTAACATTTGTATACAAAGATTTCACAACTGTAAGAATTTTACCATTAATACCATTCTCATACACTCAAACTTGTTAAAACTGTCTATAGTGCTTTTTTGTTGGATGCGCGAAAAAACATTGTTCATCGCCCCTTTGGACAGACGAGTATTTAGAATTTTACTATCAATTTAATAAACATGTTGGAGCTAATTGCTTACTGTAAATGTTATGATTGGTTTTAGTATAGAGTTGATGATAAAAACTGATACAAAATTAGAGGTGTTGTAATCGAGTTTGTCATGATAATATTGTTTATTTGTCTCTTTAGTAACGATAAAAGAAAATAACTCGAGAAATAAGTGAAAAGTCGATAAATGAATGACGTTTACCTGGACGACTTTAATTACAGTCGTGGTTTATGTAACGTGAATGGTAACCGTGTATGATACTTGTACGTGTGTTTATTTCATTATCGCGTTCCTGGACGGCGATATTTACAATTAACAACATTTGAAGAGTTATACATGTGCACCGCCTGCCTTTAGCCAATCAAATAGAATAATTCAATATCACATGATAACAAAATGGACGTGAAAAATTTCAATGAGGGATGCTGAAATGGACTCGCCCAACCGCCATGTTTTGTCGGGTTAATTATTCGAACAACTGAAAAATACCATTATCAATATACGAACTCAGTACCAGTCTTTAGTCTCTTGCAGGATAAACACAGCAAATTGCAATTTTTTTTTGCTACATGGCATTTCTGATCAGAGAATGTGGTCTTGATAAAAGTATATTTTGTTTTCTTTCCAAAAACTGGCACTTAAAGTAAAAAACTTAATGAATGCCCTTTTTCCGGGCGAGTTTAATATTTCGAGTGTTTTATTGCATCATACCTATAATATAGCAGGTCAGTTATAGTCCGTTTCAGAAAAAAAATCGCAAAGCAGTCGACGGAGTATAGAACATAAATTTTTTTTATAGAATGTTCACAAACATCATTTTTAATGTGTAGCAAGCAACTGTTGTTACTTACGCAAGAAGCTTATTATTTTTGCCGATTGATGCACTGAGTAAGCAGCGCATGTAGTCTAACTAATTGTACTACGCGTTTAGTTATTGTGATATTTTTTGTTGTGGGCAATATCTCCTACATTCTGGCCCAGAACAAAAAAATATATCTCAGAATCTAACTTAGCACATCTATAACGGAATGGTAGATTAAATCAAGTATTTTTGTTGGCTTTATGTGTTGACCACAAACAATAAAGGTATTTGGTAAGAAATGAAATAGTATTTCTATAATCATGGCTGAACGGCGATTCCAAGCATTTTTGGAAATGCTCATACTTGGTTAATGACTATAAATAGACGCTGTTGTATTTTGTTTTTATATATTTTATTAATTCATTGTTTAAAATAAATATCTATACACTCAACCGAATTAGAAAGGCTTCATTGTGTTTCTAAGATAGAAATATGCATGACAATGTAAATATGCTAAAGGAACTCTTTCAGAGGTATACGATAAATTGTTCTGTCGCTACTTCCAAGCTTGTGCATATCGCCGAATTGAAGTGTCAACAAAAGTAAATTGTTGTCTTCTTATGCATTTTTGTAAACTATGCATCAAATATCGAAAATCAAAGAATGCTGTCAGTTTTGCAATGTTGATTTGGTTAAAGTTTCGAGGGAACGTAAAGTTGATGAATTTATTTTTGAACTGTATTTGTGGCGGCGTTTCCCGCGATAAAAAGGACTGTTCCACAATGAAATACTTGCTATTGCCTCCTATTACCTCATATCTTAATTTAAACAGCAATCCAGATTTTAAAAAATGCGTTTTAAGTAAACATTTTGTCTAGAATGAAAAAGTTAAATCGGAACCAAAATTTTAGAGCAATTAACCGTATACCTCTGAAAGTGTAAGCTCTATTGTTTACCAGGCATGTTAGCCTGCTTAAAATTGTGTTAGTTTACATGATGTTTAAACATAACATGGAAGCGTTAGATAAGCAATCTCGATGATTACCTTAATTCTTTTTAAGAAATTGTTATTTATAAGCAAATTAGTACATTGTAGGTTTATCAAAAATGACATAACCTTTAATTTCAGTCCAATATATCTACCTTGATTACTTACGGAGTAAGGCATTTTCTGCATATGTTGTGTTTTTTTATATTGTTACGTACTAACTAAGATTAATGTTACTTTATTTATACTTAAAAACGGATCTAATATAAAAGATTCGAGTAAAAAATTGCAGTTGTTACGATGACAAGGAACGTATCGGACTTCCTTCTGCCAGCCGAAGTTACATTTTCTTCACCTGAAATCATAAATATTTTCATGAAACAGGGTAATTTATAAAAAGATGATATGAGATGAGTTTTATTCTAATAACGTAGCATATAAATAACTCTGAGAACCATTTGTCATTTTATTCAAGTTATCTTAATATTGGTTTTAAGAAATCTAAAATCTTGATTTCATATTAAACACAATACAGTAAACTCCGCTTATAACGAACTCACTGGGACATTCAAAACCTGTTCCTTATATCCGGAGTTCCTTGTAAGCATATAGCGAATTAGTTCCTTGTATCGGTAGTTTTTATAGCGAACAGATTTACATATAACGAACTGATTGTTTACCATTGTCCGCCATTTTGAAGAGAATTTGATTAAGTAATAGAAATATTAGTCATTTATTTATATTTTAGACACACTACCCGAGAGCGTACTTTTTGGAATTCGAAAATCATTGCTATTTCAGTTTTAGTTTTACTCCTTATCTCAATTTCACATAAAATATAATATTTTGTTTCTAAACTATTTTCGTTTTCTTTCCATGATTGAGAATAAACAAGATTTTCGATTTTTCCTTCCATTTATATTGAATATCTTCTATTATAATTTAAGGGTGACTTTTACTTATGTAAGATATAGATTTCTTTACATTTAAATCAAGCGTACTTTAATTGCAGTTTGCAATGGATCATACTTGCAAGCATGCATGATTATTTTGAAAGCCGATTATAAATTATTATAATTATTTTACTCCAGCAAAACTATTGAAGAAAATAAATAAATAACCGTTTTATCTTGGTGAAAAGAGCTATCATGCTAAAAATATCCAAAATAGAAAACTATACAAATTCATTTGAATAGATGTATTGAAGTACATACAACGATAAACGGTACATTCGCCCGAGTTTTAATCCGTGCGTTGAAAATGCGGGATCTATTTACGGATAGCCAATATTTTGGAGTTCGTATTAAAATTTAATTTTCTGTACTATTAACTAAATTGGGACTAAGAAATGAGTTCCTTATAAGCGATAATTCCTTATAACCGTGTTCGCTATAACCAAATATTTTTTTATATAATAAAGAAGGCCAAAATTCGGGCCAAAATAAATTGTTCCCTATAACCGGAAGTTCGCTATAACCGTGTTCGCTATAAGTGAAGTTTACTGTATATCATTATCATAAACATTTCACTCCAATATAAAAAAACACGTAAAAGGAAAGACTTTTAAAAAGTTTTGTTTAAATAAATAAATAAATAAAATGAACCATGAAATTAAATTAAAAAGAACTTTATGTGTTCAAAATTTGCAATGCTTATAACACTTTACATATTTAATTATACTTACCTGCTTATATACATATAGTCAAGTTTTCATACAAAGGACCTTATATCTTCGGAATTTTCTAAACTTTAACAAAACAATTATATCCACATGACAAGTAGTAAATCAAATTTTCATTAATATAACCATAAAACCGACATTGTAAAGTGTTTAATATAATGGAAATAAGACTTACCATTGTCAAGAAAACTTCTACAAATGGGAAACCCCTTTGGAGGGCTTGGCCAAGAATCACCCTCTTCGATAACCATTGCCATTCCGTTTTGGTTGTGAACGTCGATATGACAGTGAAAAAACCACATCCCTGGATTGTCTGTTACGAATCGTATAACAACATATCCTCCTATTGGAAAACACAAAACTCAGTTTAATAAAAGTATCTTTTAGAGCTAAAATGAAGAAATCATAAATGGGTAACTTTTTACATTCAGAGTATAGTTAATTAATGCTTTGACAGTACGTTGACAAGAAATGATAGCCTTTGGATTTGTGTCGACATACAACATACACATACCTGTTGGAAGGATGATAGTATCTTTTTGTGGTGGTTTTGGATTCATACCAGGAACATTGCCTCCAGACCAGCTAGAATTAGCCCATGCAGCGGTACTACAGTAGTTAAACTTGTCTGTACAGTTTATGGCATTAGAATTTTGCACGAGTTTTCCAGTGGTGAGATTGTAAGTTCCGTATCCCGTTTTCATTACATAAAAAGAATGTCCATGTAGATGAATCGGATGAGATGCTCCTGACCCGCTCCCTAAGTCCAATAAAACAAACTGAACAATTTTCTGTGACGGGATTTTCTGAATATGTGTACAATGACATACACCGTTTGTTTCACAGCTTTTATTGCACGAGGTTGACAGCTTCTCATGTCTTTGGGTCAGAAGAGACACGGTCGGCAGATAAAATCGTCTACCATTGATAGAAGCAGGCGTATTTCCATCGGGTCCAGGAAAGCCGAAATTGAAAAAATGCTCTTCGTCTACTTTATCACCTACAACATTTGTGTAATGTTGATTAGGGTCGATGTTTTCAACTTCATTGTATGAAATACATTCTCTGCTTTCATTTTTTGGATAATATTTGAAGGGACAGTTAAATGTAGGGCATATTAATTCAGATAAGCATACCTCGTCTTGTGTGTTCTTAGGGTTAGGAGATTGTGCTGTTCCAACGAAATCTTCGAATTCCAGAACGGCTTCAGCTGCATGATATTTAGAAAAATTAAGACTCTGGGGTGTTTCTAAAGTTTTGGCAATAATTAATACCTCTTTAGATGTTATGCTGTTTTCTTCTGGAGATTGCCAGTAAAAGTCATACCTTTCACCTGGATGTATAACTATTGATTGTACCGGAAGCTGATTAATGTTATAGGCGTCAGAAGAACGCAAGTTTATGCGTTGTCCATATATAAAGATTCGCATTGGAAGTGCATACATTGCTCCAATCACTCTAAATCTATAACGAGTTCCTGCTCTTATTTTGAAACGTTCCAGAGGAGACCCGTTGTTAGAATCCAAGCTTGTCCAGAATCTCCCCTTTCCATTCATAAGACCAGACTGAAAGGCAAACCTTTCAAATCCTGCTCCGTCTACAGAAAATGTAGAAGGGATTACTTCGTTTGTTTTAAAGTTAAATTGTTGAGTTATTGCCCTTTCGTGTGCTGTTTGTGAGTTCAACTCATTATTCCATTCCTGAAGTGATATTATAATTTCCTTTTCTTCAAGAGCCATCTTTGGACGTATAATTAAAGGACCGTAAAGTCCCATAAATCGTTGACCGCCAAGATGTGAGTGGTAAAAGTAAGTGCCGGGTGGGGTTGCATGAAAAACATGTTCGAACGTCTGACCAGGCATAACTGGGCACTGTGTTACGTATGCAACGCCATCCATCCATGGAGTCGATTTTTGCGGTAGGCCGTGAAAATGAATGCTAACGCCTTCAGTATAAAGATTGTTGACAACTTTAACATGTAACAATTGTCCTTCATAGACTTCTATTCTTGGACCTGGGAATCTGCCATTGACAGTAATGACAAGACGAGATGTTTGTCCATCTGCAGTGATAACCCGTGCCGCATGTTCGGTACCGAGTTCAGAATTATTAGCCCGTAACCGCAATTTACCATTATCAGGATAAACAAGCTCATTGTCTAGAAGCATTGTTAGTTTGTATTCAATGACCAGTGTACAATAGCATTCCGTATCATTCTTTGGGCATATACAGTCTTCTTTTGAAGCCGCCGGTTGAACGTCAATAGTTTGAATAAATTGCGCACACTGATACATAAATAAACCGGTCATTATAGCAAATGCTTCTTTTGCCATCTGAAACAATAGCCACAATATTTCAAAGTGATAAGCCACACATACAAATATACAGATTTACAGTATATTATAGATTTCTCATTCCATACAAAAATAAATGAATACAAAATAATCAAAGTACATATAAATGCTGGCTAGTGGCTTTTTATTTTTTTTTATGTTTCATGTACAAGTTATTATTCTCCTTTAAAGATATATCTGCCTTTTTGAATGAATACATTGTGTGTTAAATAAGAATTCAATTATATCTAAAAACGTACTTTATGCATTCATATAACATATGTTAAGTTTTAAACTTGTAGATTATTTTTGAAATAAAAGCGTAAGGTATTTTCTTCAACGCGTATAAATAAAATTGGTTTATTGGTTAAAATTCTGAAAACATAATACATGTACCACTAATATTTTCGAAATTTTGATTAAATTAGAGAGATAAAATAAAACATACCTTGCGGGCTGACACGCGGTACTCAGATATAAGCTCTATCTTGCGCACAAATTATCAGAAGTTTGTATATCATACAAATACATAAGAAGCATCCAGCGAATGAAAATGTTTTTTTTTCCCTCCAGGTCAACCTCTTTTATACGGGGGAATGTACGAGGGTAGATGAAAAATATTGCGGTAATATGCTTCCGATTTCTTTTCTTAACATGAAAGTTCTACTGAGTCGAGATTAATTTCATACAAGTATTTATCATTCTTTGCTCAATTTACAAATTTAATTACAAAATTACACGCCCTTTAGAAAAGTACCCGTCTAAAATATCATTTTCAAGGTTGGCGCCAACAGAATAATTTATGTTGACTCAGACTATGGGCGTGTGAACAAATCTGCGGATATTTCTCTATTTTCAAATCCTGAATTTAAATGTTGAAATCTTGTGTAACTGGATATTCCGAGACTGATATATTTTCAATTATGAAGTATTGATAATTGGAATATAAATAACTACAAAATTTAAAGAATCCAGATTACCATAAACACACCATGCATGTCATGCTGATTGATCTTACGTATGGGCGACAAACAGACGACACAAACAAAGCTGATGTTATACTTAGATAAGTCGAATGAGAAGCGTTAAAGGTACCCTGACATACCATAATTGAAACTGTTGCAAGAACTTGTTCCTATACAACAGTGCTTCATGCAATGCACCTTACATGACCCATACAGCCGAATAGTTTAAGATGAAAATATCGTTATTTAGAAATTAGTTGAATCCGCAAACGTGTTTCTAACGGCGGCAAGACACTCATTGACTTGTGAAGAATTATATCACTAATAAGTCAGGTTGACTTTCAAGGCTGACGATATTGATCGTTACGGCTGGTTTAATTTTCATTTGATTTTTGCAATCGTTGGTAACTATGGGAACACAATACTTCCGTTTCTGATTCGATTTTTGTCATATTTATATGTTTATCATATATTTCTCTTTTAGCCTGAGTCAGCAGTTACAGAGATATTACTGTCGGAATTTGTCTTGTCTTACGTTGAGACCATGGGTCAATAAATTAGGAAACACACGTGTCCACAAACATTTTGATCAACCCTGAGATTTAATGTTGTACAACTAGTAAAATGCTTATAATACTTATTCAAAATATGCTAACATAAATAAAATTTCAATAAAACGGGCCTGACATCAGGAAGTCAAAATACTATATTATATTAAATATTATTTTTTCACAACTACCGTCGCAATTCCCATTTTCATGTCTGTAACTTGATCAGTTTAATGTAACAAAAAAACAAAAACAAAAAAAAACAAAAAAAAACGCAACTTAATTGTAGGACCGATATTTAAAACTTTATCATTTACAGGGTTGCATCATATTTAGCTCGACTATTCGATAAAAATATGTAGAGCTATTGTAGTCACCCGAGCGTCGGCGTCTGGTTCGGCGTCGGCGTAACCACTTATGTTAAAAGTTTTTGTAATACCTCAAATATTTTCAAAAGCCATTGACATATGGCTTTGAAACTTTGCACACTTGTTTACCATCATGACCCCAACCTGTAGACAGGAGGAGGTAACTGTATCAAGTAGTGTGACAAAATTATGCCCCTGTTTCGACTCAGAATATACGTTAAAGATTTTGTAATACCTCAAATATTTTCGAAGTCCATTGACATATGGCTTAAAAACTTTTCACGACCCTAACCTGTAGACAGGAGGAGGTAAATGTATCAAGCATTTTGACAGAATGATGCCCCTTTTTCGACTAAGAAAATACGTTAAATCTTTTTGTAATACCTCAAATATTTTCAAAGTCCATTGACATATGGCTTTGAAACTTTGCACACTTGTTCACCATCATGACCCCAACCTGTAGACAGAGGAAGGTAACTGTATCAAGCATTTGGACAGAATTATGCCCCTTTCTCGACTTAGAATTAACGTTAAAGTTTTTGTAATTCTTCAAATATTTTCAAAGTCCATTGACATATGGCTTTGAAACTTTGCACACTTATTCATCATCATGACCCCAACCTGTAGACAGGAGGAAGTAACTGTATCAAGCATTGTGACAGAATTTTGCCCCTTTTTCGACTAAGAATTCACGTTAATGTTTTTGTTATACCTCAAATATTTTCAAAGTCCATTGACATATGGCTTTGAAACAAGTTGAAATTTTAAACTCTTCTTTTAGAGCATAATAGGACTCTCTTTAAGGCCTATATCTGTAATATGGAGTTAAAGAAAAAAATTACCCTTTTCTTTACTTAGAAAATTTAACATTATCAAGGCTTTTTTACTATCAAGCACTAAGAATAGTCGAGCGCTGCTGTCCTACCGACAGCTCTTGTTTTTATTTATTAGAGAAAGCGAGCGATAATCACCTTTTACGGACGTTAACAATTCTGCTGTCCCAAACACACTATCATTATTCATAGTGGGCTAAATGCAGACACGTTCATCGGCGTTCTATTCTGTATTTAAATCTATATTTTAGATTATGGTTCAAGAAAAGCATTGATGAAAAGCATCAAAGGGTGTCCAAGCAAGAAATGCATCAAGTGAAGATGAACTAGTAGACATCTGAAGACCAGATATTCTTATAAACCTTTCAATCGTTAATTGGTTTTTACCAGAATTGTATTATATTTATGAATGGCCGGGCGAAAGACATTGTTCATCATGAACTTTCGTAGGCATGCTAGAGATTAAAATATGAATTTTTTTTTTCCACAGGAACTTGAAATTCTATCAATATTAACGATAATATCCAAAATATACAGGTCTATAATATCCAAAAGATACCCCCATTTTTATAAAATAAGTTTATTTATACTATATAGGGGGGATGTTTGGATATTATCCTTTGTATTGGTTATTTGATAGAATTTCAAGTTCACGTGGTATTTTCTTTGGAACATACAAAATAGCAGTCAAAATGAAAATAGTATGTTAATTGATTTATCGGGTGTCAATTTACTATTTTATGAATGGGCGGACGAAAGACGTTGGTTATCATGAACTTTTGTAGGCATGCTAGAGAATAAAATATTTTTTTTTCTCGCAGGAACTTGAAATTCTATCAATATTAACGATAATATAAAAAAATACAGGTCTATATTATTCAAAATGTACCCCCACATGGTATAAGTTTATTTATACTATATAGGGGGTATGTTTAGATATTATCCTTAATATTGGTTATTTGGTAGAATTTCAAGTTCATGTGGTATTTTCTTTGGAACATACAAACTAGTTGTCAAAATGGAAAAAAAGTATATTTATTGATTTATTTGGTTGTCAATCTACTAGTTTAATGAATTACTTCGTTTGACCCACCAGTGTGTTTACATTCCTATTAATAAACCCATAACAACTCATGTTAAAATTGCAGACGAAAATTTCTGTTCTTAAAATGTCACAATATTCGGCAAATCAACATTCTACTCAAACTACTCTAAAATTGATTGCCTTCAAACAAAATTTAGAACAGCAAAAATCCGGAGAGACTTGAACAGCGAATAGGTTTTATAGTATACTACTGCTAGACCTGTTAACTGTTGCACAAAGTCAAAATAAAGCGACATTCGTAGTTATGAACTAGGTGTGTTTAAATATTTACGGTAAAAATGTCATAAGTGCAAATGTCAAAATTGTTTTCATAAATCAACAGATGCACCTAAAATAGAAAACTTTACAATAGTGTATAATTATACTCGTTGATAAAATGATGATTGTTTTTAATACAGTCTAGCAGTCAATTTGAGTGAAAAGCGTTTCAACGCTTTTCAATTTGGGGTCAATATGTGCAATAAAATTGATTATCCCTAGGAAGCGGAGTGAGCGAATGATATAAAATTGTATACACGAGTTATTGGTTTACACCTACATCAAGTAAAAAAAATATATATATTTGGTTCTGTCATGTCAAATAAACCCTCAGTGGTGTCCCTTTAACACATTATCGCATTTACAAATATCCAAGTATTTATTTATATAAGCAATGAAATTGACTGTTACCTGAATAAATTATGTTAAATTGAGTCTTTAAATGAAGATAACAAATGCACGCAAAATATAAAGATGCAAATGAAACAAATCGGTATTCAATCTTACAATTATCAACTGAAGGACCAGAAGAAACACAACAATAACAACGGAAAGAATAATATAAAAAGGGCAGTAAAACACCTGTGACACTTATAATGCAGCAATTCACACAACTATTTTCACTGCTGTATTTTTATTTGACAGTATTGATAAATGAACATTTAATGACCTTAACCTTATTTTAAGTTTAATATATTGTACAAATAACTAACGTTTTACATGCAGCATTAAGAGAACATAAAATACAAAACAAAATACAGCTAATACAGAAAAACGTGTATATTAATAGTATGAAACCAAAAGTATCTAATAATATGAATGAAGGCTTTCCCAGAAATAATGTATTAAAAAGAAAAATAAAACTATTTTTTGAAGACATACCCATGCCATTTGTAACTTATTTTTCACTATTATTATTTAAGCAAAATGATGTGTTTTTTTCTCTTTTACGAAATCATTTTAACAGAAAATATTTTACAGTATGCGAGGTGCAGTTATAAACTATATACACTTGTCCATTACCTAATTATAATAAATTAACATATTTTGAAATTTACATAAAATATTGTCGTCTCACAATAATATAGCTCTTTTTACCCCCCGAATATTTATAACATTTATTTTTTTCCTCATTCCATTGCGTGTCGGCTACTCCTTACAATCGTCTTTAAATTTTCGGTCATTAATTTTCCTCTTGCACTTTAAAAATAAGTCAATATATTTTCCCAGTAGGTAATGTTATAGTCTGATTTTATTGACCTGTCAATTATGAATACATTATAGCACTCATTTACATATTCGATCCCACTTCGGTTTTTTCCGTTTATTTTACGAGAATTAATATGGAGTGTATCACTTACGTTTGGAAAAGTCTCACTAGATTAATGTAGGTCCTTGTAACATCCGCAATAGCACAGTCGGTTAAGTGATTACCTAATGCATGAGGGGTCCGAGGTTCGATCCCCTTTTTTGACATTCTTTTTAGACATATTCTTTCTTTATTTTTAAGTATATTTTAATGAAAATGGTCAAGCGCTTGCAATTTGTCTACACGGATATGAACCAACTAAGAAACACCGAATTGTCACATTTTATATTGTATAATTACATATATTGATTTTAATCGGAATGAATTTTCAGTATTAATTCTTAAACATTGTTATATACAAATGTATAGCATTTACAAAAAGGTGCAAAACATATTAAAAACGGAACAACCATAACTTAAAAAACATGTTGAAAACAGTTATGAATAAAAAAAAATACTGGACATACTCTGTCTCGATCCTACTACACGTTTGAACATTCCGATAAAATATACCAGTGGTTTACCCTATTGCACTATAACGGTCAGTGTAACTAATTCAAAATAACAAGATGAATTTAATCACATCTTACTGCGCACATCTCACGGAATTTACCGAACATTTATCGAATATTAATATATTCTGTGCATTGACCGTATAATCAGTATGGAATTGACAGGTTAATAAAATCAAACAATACACCAGTAAAGAATTTAGAAAACCAGGAAGTTGTAAAAAAGGGTATTCCCCATCTCGTAAGATGAGAATATCGCACGATATAGTACTTTACTAACATACTAATGTTCTTTCAGTGTGTTTACTTCAATAAAATAATTTTTTACTCTTTTATATTTCTTTTTTAGATTTTTATTACTTCTTACAATATAAATTAATTACTGTCAAAGTTAATGATTTATTTAGCATATGTTTATAATATTAAGAGAGCTTGACAACTTCCTAGTGACGGACAGACATACCAAATCAGGCTAATATTCTCTCAATAACAAGTTTACAATATAACGTTACAGTCTGATTTTATTAACCTGTCAATTATGTAATAGAAAGAGCAGCGAAACACGAGGCTATCTGATTTGTACAGGGGGCGTATCCCTAGAGTGTTTTGATGTTCTTTCTCTTTTGAATCATAGTCAAACATAAAAACGCGTTCCCTGTTGTCACAATATGAAACCCCAGAAAAAATAACCAATGAACGAGCATCTGAATATGACATTTCTGTCGCTTTCCCTTTCTCTGCCGTCCCAACAAGTACACCCCAGCAAAAATGAGCCAATCAATGGGCATGCCCTGGAGTGCGGGTAACTAATACATATGGTGGCTGAATTGGTACGCTACGCTTTTGTGCGTCGCGTTGGCGCTAGCGACAACACGTCAAAGCGCCAAACGGGGCATTGTCACGCTGTCGTCCTGTCTCTAGCGCGGCACGCCAAAAGACGCGTTGTCGTGCGGAGTGTTGTCGCGATGGCGCATTGTTGTTTGGTTTAAATTGAAGGATTGGTTTATAAGCCAAGCGACAGGGCGAGATCGCGACAACGCCCCGCACGACAACACGCCGTTTGCATGCCGCGCTAGAGACAGGACGAAAAGACGAAAGTCCTACATCGCGCCGTTTGGCGCTTTGTCGTGTTGTCGCTAGCGCCAAGTAGACGCACAAAATCGTACCAAATCAGCCACAATAAAAAACCTACACTCCAGTTAACGCACTGTGCATTTATATGTTTTCGATTTAACTCTGACAGATTTTCAACAGAAAGGTCCCCAAACAATGATACAAGATTACATTATAGCACTCATTTAAATATTCGATTCCACGTCGGTTCTGTCCAACGAATTACGAGAATTAATATGGAGTATATGAATTATGTTTTGAAAAGTCACACTATCTTAATGTTTACGTTCTGGTCATATTCGCAATAGCACAGCCGGTTGAGTGATTACCTTAAATATGAGAGGTCTGTGGTTCGATCCCTACTTTTGCAATTGTTTTTAGACCTATTCTTTTTTTAAATAGGTCTTGCAAAATTGTCTACTGGTATCGAAGCAGTATCCGTTAAAAAATGAGTTTTTTTTTTAAAAATATTACACAAATCTTCTCCGATTGATATAAAATTTTGTTACGAAGTAGTGGAGGTCATGCCTTGTGTTTGTAAATAAAAACAAAATCCATTAGTACGCATGCGTGTCTCAAATGGGGCTCCAATAAGTATAAATAAGCCGTTATTGAATCACGACAGAAGCAGTTTCCGTCACATATTTCAAATCGTCGATTTTGCGGGATTTTAAATCTGTAAAGGACTTTGTTGTCTTATGAGCCTCTTGTAATACATTTTAAACAAACTACAGTTGACTCTCAATAAGTCAAAATCGTTTTACTCAAAATTCCGCCTTAGTCGAATAATTTCTAAAGTCCCGTCAAATTTCCTTCTTTATCTTTGTATTTTAACTCCGCTTAGGTCAAATTTTGACTTACCGAGACTCCTGTTTAGTCGAAAAGAAAATTTGGTCCCGTCAATTAAAGTCCACATATTTTCATCTCAATTAGTCGAAGTGTGAAAACAGCCGACTGATCAAAAGTCGGCGACATCAAGGTGAGATGTTGTCACTCGTGATTTGTCACTCGTGATTTACACGTTTCAATGTAATTTTTAATTGCCGGTCATCATGTATTATTTACACGTCGTAAAAGTGTCTTTAATCCGTTTCACGACTTAATTGGTTTTAACAGTTGATAACTTAATTAAGATTTAATTCATTTCTTTAAAAAAGTTGACTCGTGCCAGTCTGACGGGTGTTAGTCAAATAACAGCCTTGTCAAATAACAGCCTAGGTATTGATGTGTATTATCAACGTAAATGATATTTGTATAATTAATGTTCCGTCATATTGCATACATTAATTTGTACTTCCGGTTCACGATAGTTGCTAATTTCGTTTTCGTCCGATGATCAATTAAATCAAATATAATTGTGTGTTTATGATTCACTATTAATATACATGTATTAAATTTTGAATGATATATTTTTGTTCATTTATAATTTGTAGTTGAAAGTGATTTACCGTCATTTCAATGGTTAAATATTGCAGCATTGCCGCTAACAACAATAAGAAAGCTACTTCTTTGCACATTCAATCAGGTACATGTATATACATGTACGAAGTCAACGTAATGGCGGTAGTTCAACGTTACTCGAATTCCGTTTCTCTCGAAGTAAAATACCTAGTCCCTTGGATTTCGAGTTACCGAGAGTCAACTGTATTATCGTTTCATTTGATATTTTACTCGTAAATTTGAAAGATTGTAGAATAGATAAAATATGATATCTGCAATGGCCTCGTTTGTTCCACGTTCCTCTATATGGAAGGTTGGTGGAAAAAGCTGTCTGGCGTCGATTACTTCAGGATTGACTGGCATTATACGAGCCAATCTGAATGCCTCCTTGACAGAGCTCGGCGCAGTCTGGTCAATTGCATAGCTCAGCAATATAGGTAACCGAGACTTGCCTATATTACAGCCAGGTCGCACAAGACCAACACTCAAGGCAAGTCTGGTCACCTTATCATTTAATGGCCCTATTATTTTTACATCCAAGGGCTGTAAGTAATGCGTTGTATGGGATGGTAGCCCAACAAGTATCACATTTTCCTTCCTGGCAATTTCTACTAGAGGCAAGTATATATGTGATTCATGATTGTCCATAAGTAGGACTACTGGCCTGTATTTCCCACAATTGGGTAAGAAGGCTTTAATGAACCATTGAAGAAATATGCTGGTGTCCATATGTCCACTGTCAGAAGCGCTGAAAAGCCAATAACCTGAAATAAAGGGTATAAATTATATCATAAAAGTACTGTGTACATTGAAAAATCTAATTTATTTTTCTTAAGAAAAGTCACTTTTACATTGTTTACACGGATATTTAAATAGAAGACACTAGTATACATTACACGACATTGGATAAAATTTGGCGAGGCAAAAGAACATAGTCGATAAACACGCAGATAACTTTTGTATATAACAATCTGAGAATTAACATTTATTGATTGACCATGGTTATAGAATATGAAATTGACATTTTTTACCTGGCAAACCTTCTTTGTAATTGAGGTGCTGCATACATCCCTTATATATAATCATAGTTGAGATGAAAGTCCCGTCAGCAGATACGCATAGATGCGCAGTCACATGGTCGTTGCTCATAAAGTGTTGTTGATATATGTGACAAGACTTTGGACCAATTACCTTTTCTCTTGCACATTCTTTTCCTGACCAGCCAGTTTCGTCGAAATTAAACACCTGAAAAAGTTTATACCATAAAAGAAGGCCAATGCAGTTGGATTTTTCAAACAAAATGTAGAAAAGGGTGTGTTTTCGAAAAAGCTATATATAGAAGATTCAAATTGTGATTTGGCACAAGAAACACATTGACCGTAACAAAAGTTTTCATAAGAACTCCAGGACATATTTTGAGTTATCACAATAACTCCGGGACATTTGAAAAAATCGGGTATAAATTTTTGAGCCGGGGCTTTATGTTTGCACTTTTGTATTATAATTAGGTAATTATGTATGGCAAGGATGAAGACTTGAAAAAAAAACAGGTCAATATTTGCGAATTGGCAAATAATTTGGAAATTTTACTCAAAACTACCAGATTTTAAGCAAGAGGCGATGAAAAATGGACTATGAATTAATTTTTGACACATAATACAATACGTAAGGTAAGCTTTATCATCAAAATTTATTTTAGCACCTAAAACTCAGTTTCTAAAGATGAAAATTACCATTTTTGACAAATGTTTTTGCAGTGTATACATTAGTTTTTCGACGAACTCCGTGAAAGTTATCACAAGAACTCCTTGACAAGTTATCATAAGAACTCCATCCCTCGTGTAACACTTTCTCCCCCGTGATTATAACATTACAGTATAAACATGGTATTTTATAAAGACCAAGGCTATATAGATAAACTGCCAGGGTATCCAATACAAACCAATGTTCAATTGTATTTCGACGAAGCTTCGCTACTGTTGGTTTGAAAGAGTTGAAATGCTTTTCATTTTAGGTCATTTTGTCAAATAAAAAAGATTATTTTATTTTGCACAATACGAATGATTATTTTGGATCAAAGGGAATGAGCAAATGATCTAAAGGTTTGCACAAATATTTAAATCTTAAAAACGAAATTTTCCAGTTCTGTTATCTCAAAAGACTTCAGTACGGTCCCTTGATTTAAACTATTATCTTTAATGCACATCAATATCTAGTAACTTAGATATCAGTACACATTTATTTGTAGTTTACTTAAAATTCCTTTCAATATATACCGGTTTTGACGCATTGATATATTAAGATAAATTTTCGGAACAGATTGCGGCACATATTTCCGATACTGTGATGGCTTTTAAAAATGTTTCTCCTACATCTTGATATATTTGGTTCTTTTTCGTTTTCTTCCCATTTATTTCATATTTCAAAAACATGCTAATTAAATCATTCACATTTATATACAACATTTATGACTAAATATAAAAAAAATATATCTGCTTCACTTAAATCCATATTCATTAACCACATTAACAAACTTCAATTAAGAAGAAAATATCACATACTCATAAGCAAACAAACAAAAAAGCCAAAAAACAAACTAATAAAGAAAAAAATTCAAACAAACTTATTTAAAAAAAAAAAGAAATGCTAAAGACAAAACACGCAAACACTAAAACACACACAAATATTAAAGACAAGTGAATTTTTATCCGAGTGGAACATTTGCCGCAACGTTCGGTGTCAGTTATTTTTTTCTTCTTCTTTAAAATTCAGTTCTAGGTTTCGGCGTGAACTATCCAATATCTTCTGGATATAAATTATAATCTGTCAACGATTATTGTTCACACGTTTTTACGTGTATAGGAGGCATTATAATGGGTATAGTTGTGTTTTAATTCGTCAACGTCGAAATAATGTTATTTCAACGAAAAATGAATCTGCAAACAATGATACAATGATGTCAGTCAAAAGGGTTACTAACCTGATACATTGTTGAAATGTCAAAGTTCGTTCGTGCACAATTAGGTCATTTAGCCACATTAAGGCCGGAACATTTTATTCAAGGCAAATGTCCATGATTAATTTAATTCTAATTGTTGCCCAAAAGGCTTAGTATCTAATGTAGCTACTGAGAAGACTTTCGAAGTTGGTAACTGTGTGTGTGTTGAGTTTATTAATACTCACCACCGTGTGACCATATGTGCGAGTCCTCCAGAAGAGTATTTTGGAGGATAGATACAGATTCAGAAAATTGCCACAATTCCAAAAGCTTCTCCTGGTTCCTTAACGTGCCAAGAAGTTAAGCACTCATACACAGAACCTAGATTTTTAAGTCTCGTCCGAAATACTGATCATTAATTTTATTGGCCAGCCCCGGGAATGGACATTATATTGTCGGGATGGTAACTGTCGTGGTGTCTTTCATTATAAGCAATACAGTTAAGCTCTACCTACTTCAAGCCTACTCATATAGTGTAACATGCATGATATAGATATTGACTTTGTTATTGAGTTTGCATTTACATGTAGAGCTATTATCAGGTATAAAACAATTCCTTTTGGATCTTGTGTTTCACCATTTTGATAGCTATTAACAGTAAACAAAAACCTATCATATTAAATGCATCAACACGATCCCATTTGACCTAAAGACAGACATCAAGAGGCCCATTAGGCAATGCATTATGTTGAATATGTCAACATTTGACTTTCACGCGAATAAAATATTCTTTGCAGAGGTATAAAATTCAAAATTGTACCAGTTCATGTTGAATGTTAAATTCTGCTTGAGCCGGTGCTAGGGGTATAGACGGTAGTTTTCACTTGACAGTACCGTCCATGAACAGGCTCAATTAAACCGAGCCTGCAACATTTTCAATTTTGCCATGTTGGGCTTTATTTAGGGATTCTTATTTACCGTATTTTAGATGGGATCTACAATAACGTACATCTATGATTTATTCTCAGTGTCAACTGCAAAATTCATTTCTTTTACTTTTTGAAAAAGAGCACAGTCGAATACAGCGAAAGCTTGACATTCAAAGCTTACAGAAAAAATACCTATATACATACATAGTCATTTTAATCGTTATTAGGGAAATCGTTCGTGAGGTCACATATATTGTAAAATATTTCTGAAACTAGAATATCTAAGACTGACAATGATGCTTTGTCCAAAACTGCAAATACGAGACCTACATCGTTGGTCCGTAATATGTTTAGCAGTACCTAGCGACACAACAAGAATGGTCTTGCCTGTTCCCTTAACAAAGTCAGCTTCATTGTTTATTGTCTCACTTATATTCTGTCTACCATTGGTTAGAACAATGATAAAGTCACGTCTTGTCATTAGTTGAAACTGTATGGGGATCAAACACGTTTTGTACGGTATAGTTTAAAGCTAGACTTAGATCTGCATCTGGACACCCATCACCTCCAATGTTACAAGATCCCTCAGCTAACTCAAGGGCTTGAAGTTGGTACAGAAAGTCTGTCTTTGGACTTTGGTCGTTTAATGCTCTCTTTACTTCTAGTTTGTAACCATAAAGTACTAGTGAAACGTCCACGGTGCTGTTCTCTGACTCAGTTGCAGTAATTTGTTCTGTGATGTATTTTATAGAATCCAAACCAAGCTGAAAATTTTCGTTTGTCATAGAGTGGGATGTATCAAGGAGAAACACAATATTAGAAGAGGTCTTCCACGAACATTCTACAAAGAAAAAACCAAAACAAACAAAACTGAAATAAGACATGCTCATTTTTATGATCCAATCATTGTACAATCAGTCGACAATATGCTGTTTTACTATATGATCTGTAATTGTTATCAAATTAAAACAAGGTCATAAACATGTACTTTTTAAAATTATGTTCTGATATTTCATAGGACAAATTTACAACCTTATTAAAAGAAACGTCTTGTATTGTTGGTTCTTGTGCTTTCACAACAAATGTTTAAGTATAGGGTAGCTTTATAAACTAAAAACAAATTAATGATATAACTAATACATACCGTCACACGTGAGCTGCACGAGCTGTTGTACTATTGTGTACAGTGCGTTGAATATTTTGAACATGGTTGGACAAAATTTCGCTGCATTGTTCGTTTGTCAGTTAACATTTTCGGGTAAATCACATGTAAACTAACCTTCTTGGCAACTATTCTACCTTTCAACGTGCCAAGTTAAGCAATAGACATGTCCATGATTTTAAAATCCGAAATATGATCATGTATTTTATGAAATAAATTTTAGGGAATGTTTTCTTCGTATAAGCAATAATTAGCTCTTCCTATTCAAGTATATATAGTGTTGTGTTAGATATTGAGTTTTGAGTCAACATGAAGCAACAGTATAAAACAATTCCGGACTGTTTTTCCCTTTACTAGTTAACAGTAAACCTTCAGTGCACCACATCCTCATTATTCTAAACAGCTCACGAAGGCTGGCAATGAAGTAGATATTCACATTTCCGTAAGCTTTGCACGGAATAAATTTCTTGCAGAGATAAAATTCAAAAGTACCAGTTCGTGAATTTAAATCTGCTTGAGCAGTGCAAGTGGTTTTAGAAGTTTCATTACAGTACCGTCCATGAACGGCTCAATTAAACCGCCCTCACATTTTTCAATTTTGGCTGTTGGCTATACTTGGATCTTTTACCGTTTTTATGATGGGAAAAACGTACATCTATGTTTATTACTTAGGTCAAGTGCAAAATTCATTTCTTTACTTTTTGGGGTCGAATCATGGCTTTACTTTCAATTACAGAAAATTTAAGACAAGCTTTTTAATATTATTTAGGGAAATCTTCTAAGGACATATTGTAAATATTTTGAATAGAATTCTAAGATGTTCTTTGTCAAAATAAATACGAGACCTACATGGCCAAACAACCTCGCCAATCAAAAGGGTTTGCCTTTCCAGCTTAAAAGCGGCTTTCTTGTCTTTGCTTTTATTCGTCCGGAAATAAGCAATCCGTCTGCATTAGAAAAGGGAAAACCGTTTAGCCTACTTTTTCAAAGGGCCAGATATGAGACCACGCACCCAACACCTCCAATGCAATTAGCATCCTCTCAGCTAACTGAAGTTTGAAGGTTTGTATTGTACCTTTCTTACGGCTTCTTTAACTCGGGCCAAAAAATACTTAAAGTACTGATTCAGTTGTAATGTCTGTATGTATTTTAATAGATACCAACCTACCCTGTAATTATTTTCCAATAAGTAATTTATGGAAAACCTATATAATAATTTCCTCAAAAAAAAACCCCAAAATTAGTAGCTCATTTTTTAAACATTGATCCTCAGTCGACCTGTATTTAATATGATCGAGGATCAAAAAAAAAACTATAACAGTACTTTAGAAAAGTTTGACATATATCTGAAAAAATATGCTTGTATTGATTTGCATTCATATACTATCTTTTGTTTTAAAGTGACCACGAATGGCCAGACTAATTAAGATTAAGTTCTCGTTAAACAAGTTTAGGTTGTTCATTTACTTTAGGTATTGAAAAAAAGTAATAATATTGTCTATTGTGGAAAAAACTGACTTTACAGGAACAATAATAGACAAATTAATTAATTTGATGTACAAAATAATTAATTTGTAGATGATAATGTTGAAAAAAAACTGGAATCTAAATTTCAAAAGGAATAATTACTTTGGGGAAGAAAAGTTTTACTAGTGATTACATTATCCATGTGTGATTTTTTAAGTGTTTTTTTAAATGAACATAAATCGGATGGAATTTAAATATATAAAAACAGAGGAAGTATACTTTTTGAAAATAGATCATACATACAAGTATCTTCATAATGGCTTGTATGTAGTCTGAAATTAAACATTTTTTATATAACCAACTGATTCTAAAACTCGTCACCACTTACCAGTTTCACAATATGTTCCATAGTGTCTAGGTGGACACTCGCACAAGAATCCATTGACTTTATCTATACATGTGCCTCCATTCAGACACAGTGAGCTGCTGCACTCGTATGTCTCTATTGCAATAAATGACTGACATATCAAACAAAGAATACATTATCAATAAAAGATATTGTATCATTGTTTGGGGACCTTTCTGTTGAAAATGTGTCAAAGTTAAATCGTATACATATACACAAAGTGCGTAACCTTGAGTGCTGCATTTAAGAGCATGCTCATTGATATTAGTTTACTTAATGTAACGATAAAGAAAGGGATAACAATAGAAATGTTATATTCAGATGCCCGTACATTGGTTACTTTTTTCTGGAGTTTCATATTGTGACAACAGGGAACACATTGGCATCAATGGAGAAAGAACGTCTAAACACTCGGAAAACTGATTTATACTCGGGGACTACCTCCCTCGTACAAATCAGATAGCCTTGTGTTTCGATGGTCTTTCTGTTGCATAATTGTATCCTAGTTTTGGACCTTTCTGTTGAAAATGTGTCAGAAATATACATGCACAGTGCGTTAACTGGATTACAGGTATTAGTTACCCACACTTCATAGCAGAGCATGGTAGGGTTTACTTATTGTGACAACAGAGAAAGGGATAGCGCGATAGAAATATCATATTCAGATGTTCGCTCATTGGTTACTTCTTATTGAAGTTTCATATTGTATTGTGACAACAGGGTTTTTATTTTTGTAACATAAGATTGGACTATAAATAGATTAAATCCTGATATGAATATGAAAATAGATTAAACCCTGATTTATTGTAAGGGATGATTAAAAAATCAACATTTAACCCTCTTAGATATAATCTATAACAATCTAGCAACTTTCAAATTTAATGCAGATAACTAAATACAATGTTGAATTTTTATTAATTAAGAGAGAGAAAGAGAGAGAGAGAGAGAGAGAGTGCATTTCTTTAATACCAATTTCAGACTTTACTTAGGATAAGTAAGTGTTTATTAAAATAAATTAACATCAAATTACATGGCAAATTTAGTGTTTGAAATTATTGTAAAAGAGGACAGATTTACCAAAGTGAATGGGTTCAGATGCAATTGAAATCCTACAATCCTATCGGACAAAGGTAATTTTAAACACTAATTCTTGTTCTTTAAAAGAATAAAATATCACCAAAAACATCAACAACCATTGCGTTTTGTGACTTCACTAATATGAAGGTTCCTACCTTTCAACAAATACCAGCCGTACCAGTCTCCCATAAACAACATTTTTTCTAAAATATACATTCTCAATACCGCACTAAATACTATTGATAGTTATTAGAATAAGAAGCTTGCTTTACACCAGTGGCCAGCCCGTAGTTCTGGATAGAACCAGAGATCAAAGTATCATGTATGTTAACAAATGTTAAATAACGTACCATATTGGCAACATGTTCCGTAGTATCCTGGCAGGCAGTCACATGCCCGTCCGTAATATTGAAGAGACTCGCCATTACTGCAGTGATTACATGTCAATTTACTGGAATCTCCAGTCCCTGACTGAGAACCATCTGGTGATCCCGGACAATACCGACTACACGTCTCATGACTCCATCCAATATCTAAACAACATATTTGTCTCGCTCTTTGTTGACAACAGTATGAAGGTCCGCAATTAGTTGACACTGTTTTCCATTCCGTCCATGAACAAATTCCAAAGAAACATGTGCTGCAACATGCATCTCCATAAAGTACGATTATGACCAACACCATAACATTCAGACGGCAAGACATGTTCAATCTATCAAAATATGATTATAAGCAACACTGTTTAATTCAGGCGGAAAGACATGATAATTCAATCCTTCAAATAAATTTTACAGTAGTATTCCAGTAGCTCTATATTCTGAAAGGACAGTGTAGACATCGTACAAAGCAGATACAGTAATGTATCAAGTTACCAGACACGCCCTACCATTTCACGTGTCATGTAATTTTGTGTAATTTAGAAAAATCTTTCGATTGGGTGAAATATAACATTGGGGAATAACCGGGCATTTTCAACACGTGAATATCACAATAAATGAATTGTTGTTTCATGTTTTGTATAGAGAATGAGCTGTACAAATCAATGAGATATTATACGTAGTTTTATGTTTTGTATAAAGAGATATACTACTTAACTTAAGCTAAGCACCATAAGTTAATTTTTATATTATCAAGTATAAAACAGATTTCTTTCCAATTTTCGAAAATTCTGATTCTGCAATGTGCCATGATAACCGCCATATGAACACATCTGCAGATGTTTCTTAATTCAAAATTTCACCTTTTTCGCGTTTAAATGTTAAATTCAGGTTAAGCCGGTGCTAGTGGGCGTTGACGATAACTTGCACTTACCAATACCGTCCATGAACAGGCTCGATCAAACCGGGCCTACAACATAATAAATTCTTCCGTGTTGGAATTTCTTTAGGGATTCTGTCTTTCTCTATTTTGACATGAATCCGCGTTGACTAATCCGTAACAACTCGTCCAGGTAGCATGGAAAGCATGCACCCCAATATTTTCATGTTTATGATGGGGTATACAATCACATGTCTTTTGTTATACGGCGACATTACCGGCTTTTATTGTCATTCAGTGGCTTACATTTCTTACATCTGTCACTTCAATATGACGAATGCTAATATTAGGCAGCATTTAAGAGAAGTTATAGAGGACTGTAGGGATGGTGCAGCAGGGGGGCAACTTCCGCCATGTTGGTGCGGCGCTTGATGTGTACCACATCGTTATCACCAGAGCCTGAGAGAGATATCGGCTGTATGATACACCAGCCAGGAAACATGTTGCAGGTCAACAAAGGGTCACAATACAAGCTCAGGATCAGTTTTGGTCGTTCAGACTTGTCGTAGAAGGTTTTAGACAGCAACTTTTTTTCGGAATGACCTTACCAATGCTGCGGCGGTCCGTGTTTCCACGCATACGGTATGTAGAAGGTTGCATGAAGGTAATTTGCGGTCGTGAAGACCTGCATACCTATCCCCTTTACGCGTCGACATCGTTAGGCCCGTTTGGAATGGATTATGGAGCATACACAGTGGACCATGCAACAGTGGAGACACCTTCTGTTCACTGATGAGTCTACATTCTGCCTAGACTTCACGGATAAGCGTGCTAGAGTCTGGAGAAGACGAGGTGAACAGTTTCAGGCTGCAAATATTCCTGAGCATGACCGCTACAGATGTTGTTCAGTTATGGTGTGGGGAGGCATCAGCTGAGATGGACAAATCAACCTTGTTGTTCTAAATAGAGGCACATTGACAGGTCAGACATCTAAGACAACCAAATAGGTTGCATGCTGGAGTAGTTGGCGATCAATCCTAGAGGATTCTATTTAGCGCATGAACTCGCCTGCTTATTCATCTGATAGACACGATTCACACACACGGTATTTAGTCTAAAACTGTAAACAAAACATCCAATTTAACAAATTTGAAAAGCACGCTATATGTTCTGAAATCTTCAAAAAGGGGGCGGGTTCATCCTCATCTCTAGCACAAAATCAATAATAAAATCATTAATAGGGTTACCTTCGTCATTCAGCTAAATTGATAAAACAGTAAATCGACATTTAAAACCTTTCGAACAAATCCAAAAAAAAAAATTCACACTCAAACATATGGTGCTTAGTAACAGTTGAGTAGTATAAAATTAGCCGTGTAACCATGACTAGATTGACATCAGTTATAGACTTACTGTACGTTATATTTGTTGATCGATTTAAAGTAAAGAAAGTTACAGGGATATTATCCATCATAGATATAATATAGTGTACAATTATCAATGCCTGTACACAATAGATAATCATTTATAATTATCACGCTTTCATGTGATCTTATTGTAATTGTAAAGCCATGTTTCTAATTCACGATAAGGATCTTGATTTTCTTATAATTATGCATAAATAAGAGACTGAAACGGGAGAAAGTAAAAACCTGGTGAATTCCCTTTTAACGCAGACTTAAAGAAAACACCTTCCTTGTACATAATATTTCAAACTGGATAAAGGTGAAAGAAATGAGGTATGTAATACTGTGTTGTTTATATATACTTATATAATGATGTTTTATTTACATATTATTACTTATAGTAACAAAGTTGAAATAAGGAAATTAACATTAAGTTTTTAGCTACTGGAAACGGTAATGGTTAGCCTTTGCCACCAGTACAGAGGCCGGCCAGTCTGTCAAAGTATTGCAAATTAATAACGTTAAGTGTAAAGACGATATACATTTGTAATGAAATAACTGTCGTCTGATCTATGAAAAATACAGATGTAGCAACTTAGTAATTTAGCTGATGGATTTCATGAACAAGTAAGGAAAAACACAAGTATAAAGTAATGCTCCTGTCACCTGTAAACATATTTACGGCGAGAACAGGGAAAGAAAACACAAGTTTTCACGCTATGCCAAGTTATTGTGCATGGTCAATTAAAGAGGATTTTACCATATGAGTGTCAGCACTGAGTGGAGCCATGATTTGAACCAAGGTTTTGATACTCTAAAATTTAATGTCCCTGCTAGTCCTCGCCAGTGAAAGGGAGTAGCAGCAAATGGCCGTGTATGATATCAATGAGAATAAATCTGATAAAACTGTTCAGTTAGAAAGTAAAGCAAGAAAGATAATTTCTATTATCAATATATGTTTCAATTTAGAATAAAGGATCAAGATGGCATAGTGGTTTAAGTGTCTATCTCTCAATACAGTGGTCTAGCTTGAGTTCGACGATGAGTCAAATCTATTGTGGGGTTTATTTACAGGTTGTCATCCTGATCTTATGTTAGCAGTGATTTTTATTGTAGTGTTCCCCCAACCTCCAGGGATTCATGTTTTTTATACAGTAAACTTCGCTTATAGCGAACTCATTGGGACATTCATAATATTTTCATTATATCCGAAGTTCCTTCTAAGCATAAAGCGAATTAGTTCCTTGTATAGCGAACAGATTAACATAACATAACGAACTGATTGTTTACCATCGTGCGCCTTTGTGAAGAGCATTTGATTCACAAAGAAAAGATCATGCTCATGCAGGATCAAGTGATCCTGATTTTATTTTCATTGTTTTATGTTTCTAGAATTTAACGTGTTTTGCTAGACTTAAATGGTAAATATTCAAAATATTAAAAATTGCTGATTTGCAGAGAAACCAAACTATTTACAAATAACAAATCAAATACATGTACAAAAATATTCGGATCAAAATAAGGATCAATTTTAGGATCAGGATCAATATTTGGTTCAACTGAAAAATAGCCGTATCATGTACAAATAACAATAAATTTATTCTAAAATTTCATTAATTTGCTAGTACAAGTCCAGTTTTATCAAATTAATATTAGATATTTAATCTATAAGGATAAAAAATGAAGAAAAATAGAGCTTTTAAATTTGATCCTAATCCTTTAATATTTGTAAACACGGGTCCTGGGCTTTTCGTTTTCCTTCCATGATTAAGAATAAACAAGATTTTCGATTTTTCATTCCTTTCATATTGAATATCTTCTTTTATATTTTAAGGGTGACTTTAACCACGGATTTATAATATAAATCCGTGCTTTAACTGATAAAATATGTAGATTTCTTTCCATTTCAATCGAGCCTTCTTTAAAGTTTTCAATGGAGTATGCTTGCAAGCATGCTGATTATGTTAAAAAAACGGATTATAAATTATCATAATTATTCTACTCGAGCAAAAATATTTAAGAAAAAATAAATAGAAGAATTAAAGGAATAACCGTTTTATTTTGGTGAAAAGAACTCATGCTAAAATATCCTAAATAGAAAACTATTACGTACTTTTTTACTAATTCATTTTCATAGATGTATTGAAGTTCATTCAACAATAAACGGTAAATTCGGCCGCCAATGAAAACGAAACATGCGGGTTCTATTTACGGATAGCCTGTATTTTGGAGTTCGTTATAAAAGTGTAATTTTCTGTACTTTTAACCAAATTGGGACTAAGAAATGAGTTCCTTATAAGCGATAATTCCTTATAACCGTGTTCGCAATAACCGTATATTTTTATATTAAATAAAGAAGGGCAAAATTCGGGCCAAAATAAATTGTTCCTTATAACCGGAAGTTCGCTATATCCGTGTTCGCTATAAGTGAAGTTTACTGTACATCTATTTAAGTACATAAAAGTCGATCAAATTAGCGTAAATAAATGAAAAACTTTAGAGAACAAAACCATGCTCATTTAATGTATAGTCAACCTCCACGGCACAAAATTGCCCCTTGTATTAGTTTACATAAAGTATTTAACAAGTAACCAAAGTATTATTAAATAATGTCAACTGCGTATTTAACATTATAAACAACAGTGGGTGCGTATTATTAAAACTTGAACTAGTCGGATGTGTCGCCTTTTGAACAGTATAGCTGTCACTTAGGCTTTTTCTTCTTAAATATATGTTATTTATTAACACCGCTCTTACAATGCGCATGTACCTTGAACTTTAGTGGCATTTGAACTTATTGTAACAATATTACATCGGGATTAGTAAAACTGTTGTATTATCAAAAATAAAAATACCACGGAAAAGTTTTTACACTGACCAATCAAATGGAAAACTATGTGGTGGAGTTTTAAACACTGCACTTAAGGTCAATGAAAAAAGCTTACATACCAAATTTGGAGTCAATCGAACTTATAGTGACCAAGTTACGCTCTTCACAAGCCTATTAAGTAAGACAATTATCAAAGGGCAATAACTCAAAAATAAAGAAGTGCAGATTAACGTTTCTTGTGCACTGCTCTTCAGGTTATTAAAAGAAGCATGCATACAAAGTTTGGAGTCAATCCGACTTAAAGTGACCGAGTTATTCTCCAGACAAGTCTATTGGGACACCGTCGCCCCCAAAGCCGACAACGACACCGCTGAC